AAACAAATTTGTGTGTATGTGTGAAGGCTTCGTAGAGCAGTTTTAGGTTCACAGCAAAATTAAGAGGAAGGTACTGGTTTCTCACACACCCCCTAGCCCGCATGTGCACAGCCCTCTCATGACCAGCACCCCCGCCAGGCGCTGTGTTAGCTACAACTGATGAAGCCACGTGGCTGTGTCATCGCCGCCCAGAGTCGGTCGTCTGCGTTAGGGTGGCTCCTGGTGGTGGGCATTGCATGAGTTTGGAAAAATGAACGTGTCCCACCATTAGAGTCTCGTACAGAGTATGTTCAGTGTTCTAAAAATCCTCCGTGCTCCATCTAAAGATGTGTGTTTATTCACAGCTCCCAATTTGTCATATTTTACATAAAACAACACACAGTCCCATATGCTCGGTTTGTATCAATTTGGCAAATTTTCCCTTTCACCTCTTAATAGCAAAGTAAAGGAAAACGGAGATAATGCAGATTTACTTAAAATTCACCATAAATCACTGTTTCTGCTTTGATTTACTCAACACCCCTTCACATGAGAGCACATAATTTATTTCCACAACCCAGGGAAACTGTAAGTCCGTAGACATAGGCGTGAATGGTGGCATAGCCGTGTTCCCCTACACGGACTTGCATGTAGGAAGCATTGCTCAGTGGTAAGTGGGATCACACCCTTCCGTGAGGCACTGCCTGTACGTGTGGCTTAGGGTCGGGAGAGGAGCACCGAGTCCGGAAAGGGAAATGGGGTGTCTCCCCAGCCCTCCCTCTCCCCACCATTTCTAATGCTAATTTAAATCACAACAGCACCTGATGCCCAATTTAAATGGTTCTATTTCCTCTGGAAATGTGGTTTCCTACTGATAAAACTTAGCATTAGGGACAATTGATTTAGTATCTTGCTCTTTTAATAAGCCCCTTTGTTGATAAGCACATCGCTAACCTGAGCGGTGGTACCAGTGTGTTTAAAATGTACTCATACAAAGGAAAAGATTTGCACAAAGCCCTGTTCGTGAGAGAGGGCCGGGACATTAATTTGCCTTGAATATGTGAATAAATGCGTAATAAATGAGCAAATGGGAGCACAGAGGAGGAGAGAGAGGGAAACATCATGTAGGTAATAATACTTAAATATGTTTGTAATTGTTCCCAGAAGATAAACATAAGGTTACTTATGTTTAAGGTCACTCCAGGTTATATTTTGTAGATACTGATTTATGTTTCTTTTGCAAAGTTTAAGAAACAAGTCTTCTATATATTTTTAGAAGCACCTGATTTAGAAATGTTTAAACAGAGGGTAGTGTGTTATTCTCATAGAGCCTATAGGGTGTTGATGTACTTGATTATGCAGAGGAAAACTCATAAGGAGTTGCTACACAGACCAACTGTAACAACAACGAGATCCTGAGAATTTGTCAAAAAAAAAAAATACATAATGTTACAAAACGCCAAGAATGTATTTTAAAGATGATACCAAAGTCCTGACTGAACAGCATCTCCTTCTCACAAACCCAAGATTCTCTTTGGAGAATTGACAAGTAAATGATTTCATCTATTTTCATTAAGAAATCTTTACTTGTAAATGTTAACTTCTATAATTATTCTGTATTTCTCAAAATATCCTCTGCGGATTTTAAATTTTTTGAAGTCTAGAACCTTGTCTTTCTTTTTTTATTTATGTTTTCTTATTCCTTCCTATTTTATCTATTAGGGAGTTTTATCTGTAACAGGTAAAAGTTTGGTAATGACTTTGTGTTTATCAAAATACTCCCTAGCAGACTTTTCAGGTTTCTTTGAAGGCTAGAACCTCATCCATTTTCTCTTTGCTTTCATCCCGAGCACTGTGGCCTGGGCACAGTACACATTCACTAAATCCCAGAAGTCTGAGTCACTTGTTGGCCTCAGCAGGTGGAGGAAGTGTAGTGGCCACCCTCATGGCTTTGACCGTGGGGGGTGTGGGGCCTCATGGCATTGACCCTGGGGGGTGTGAGGCCTCATGGCATTGACCCTGGGGGGTGTGAGGCAGGCAGTAAGAGCAAGCCCACGACGATTCCAAAGGGTGAAACGTTGTGAAGGGAAAAAACAATGTTGACAAAGTGATGGACTTTGTTGGACAGAGCGAGCAGGGGAGGTGCCTCCAAGAAACAGCCACTGTGCAAGGACTTGGAAGCATGCGTCTAAAGAACTAAGGAAACCACTTTGGCTAAATGTCACTGGGTCATTCACAGTCCCGAACACCACGTCTCAGTCAGCATCGTTCGTATTCACAGTAGCCTGGATAGGAAAGCAGCCAAAGTGTCCACCTAAGCGTGAGTGGATAAAGGAAGTGTGTGTTCACATACACAGGAATATTATTTAGCCTTAGAAAAACGAGGTACTTCTGTTTGTAACAGTATCGATGAACCTGGAAGGCATACTGCTGAGTGAAATAAGGCAAATATATAAAGACAAAAAAAATCAATGTCTCACTATCTGCGGAATCTAAAAAAGGCCAATCCATAGTAGCAACGAATGGAAAGCGATGAGCAGGGGTCAGGAAGTGACGGCCATGAAGGGATACTGGTCAGAGTTGTAGTTATGTCTGGTGAGTACGTGGAGAGAGCCACAGAATGGTGGTTCTAGTTAATTACGTTGCATGGCGTACCGGAAGTTTATAAAAGTATACATTCCCCGTGTTATCACTACACGCAAAAAGTGGTAACTGTATGAAGAGATGTGTGCATTAGCTTGACCGTGGTAATCATTTCACAGTGTATACGTATGTAAACTGTCATGTTGTGCACCTTACATACTTATGATTTTACCAAAAATGTGTGTGTTCCCACAGTGTTACTTTTTATTTGCATCTCTGCCCATCCTTGATTGGAAATGATGGCAAGTTTCGTTACAAATGTGTATTTCCATGTTACTACCAGGTAGACTGTTTATAGAATATCATATTGTCTGACACGCGATAGGTTCTTTGCCCAAAATTGGATCTACGTCTTCTCTTTCTATGGAGCATTAATCGCATGGAGTAAAGATTACACTTTGACAGCAGGCTCTGGCTGCTTGTTGATGGCCTTTGCCTTGCCTTGGAAGAATCCCGAAACGGCCATTTTTACACCCCTAATGAAAACAGTTATGTCGTGAGACCCCCTGTCTGTGGCTCATTACGAATCGTCCAACCATGACCCTCAGGCTGTAATGGATTATCACTGCTTCTCTGCAGGGTGTTACAGGAGGCAGGTCTGAGTAAATGTGTCAGGAAGGTGCTGGGAAGGAAACCACTGGCCTCGATGATGATTCTTCAGTTTCTTTATTCTCTTCTTGTTGGACCTTCGTCACTTACAGACAGACACATAAGAAAGAAAAAAATGATACAAAACCCACCTCAGGCCCTCAACTTCACATGCAGTGTTAACACTGGTTTGCAAGAGCTATCCGTCTCGACACCTGTTTCACAGCAGATTGCCAAAATAATGTATTCAGACAAACACTGCAGTTTGAAAGGGTAGACTTTTAATAAGTTGTAATGACTGTGTCACTAATTTTAGTAGGAATTTTGAATAGCCAAGTTAATGCCTTCCATCTCAGCATTGCTCGGAAGCACACCCGTGTACAGCCCGCTCAGGGCTGCGCACGTTAAATTGGATGTTAGTCGGAAGTCGGCCTTCTTCCTGGCACCACGTTCCCTCCTTTCGGGTCTAAGACATAGCCATTTGATACTTTTTTACAAGATTCCAGAGTTTTATCTCTACTCCGAAATAGATCTCATTAAAATGTCTTTCTGGTATTATGGTTCCTGTTCTCTCTGTCCTGTCTTCCTCCCTTGATTCCTGCCTCTCTGGATGCATCTGTCTCCTCTATTTGTCTATCATTGATTTCTCTACCTATAATTTATACTTATCTATTTACTTTCTTCTATCCTCTCCATCATCTGTCATCTCTCTCATTCATCTCTCTACCGGTTGATCTTTGTATCTTTTACCAATCCATTGTCTGTATCTGTCTCTCTTATCTGTCTGTCTGTCTGTCTCTCTCTCCATCTATCAGTATCTACCATCCACCTAACTCCCCGTTCCTTATTCTCTTTGTCACTCAGGATTCTAGCCTAATTTCATGACATCTCTGACTCTCTTTCTCCTCGATCACGTTATTGGTCACCAAAGAAAGCATTTCTTCGTTCTGGAGAAAAGGACCCTGTGCTGTATTAAAAAGAAGTGCATAGAATCCTAATATATGGGTGTATCTGACACAAATTGGTCTTGTCTAGTTGGTATGGGGTCGGTCACCATGACAGTGTTCTTTATGACAATAAAGCTTTGAGGCTTTGCAGAATTAAATGTAGGAGAAAACCTTCTAGCCTCAGATCTTTTCCATATGTTAATATGGACAATTACATAAAATCTGCATACATTACTCTAAAAATATTCGCGTCGGGCTCTGGGCTGATGGCTCAGAGCCTGGAGCCTGTTTCCGATTCTGTGTCTCCCTCTCTCTCTCTGCCCCTCCCCTGTTCATGCTCTGTCTCTCTCTGTCCCAAAAATAAATAAACGTTGAAAAAAAAATTTTTTTAAATATTTATTTCAGAGTGTTTTGGGTGTCCTCAAAATATATTAAAAGATATGAAAAGAATTCACATATGAGATATATTAAAAGAATTAATGAACAATTCTTTTGCTTATATGGAGTTATCTTTTGGTACTTCTAAGCACTATAAATGTTAAATTAAACATTTGATAGACGTTTATTTAACTTAAAACACAATATGGGTTATTTTCACTTTTAGAACTGGTAATCAGTGTCTCTGAAGGGATAGCAGTTTTGAATTCTATAAAATTCTGTACCTGAGAGTTCTCAAACGTATACAGTTATCCATAGAACTACTTTTTAAGACACCTGAATTTGTTTGAAATACAGTGGAATTAAGGAACAAAAATGTGGACTACAGCTGAATATTTGCAGCATGGAAAGTCATGGAAAACGTCTGTGATACCAAATGATGGTCTTTGCCTTTGCTTTATTTAGGTCATCAAGCTCGCGTTTGAGGAGTTTGAACTGGAGCGAGGCTATGACACCCTCACCGTGGGCGATGCTGGCAAAGTGGGCGACACCAGGACCGTCTTATACGTGTAAGTACGGGACGTGGGGTCTCCTCTCGTCTAGCGCACGCGGCCGTCTGTGCCCTCGTGGGTGGAGCTTGCTGAGCTCGGGTGTCCAAGTCTGATTTCACATGAGGACTAACTCAGGAGTGTGTTTCCTCTGTTTCCACGTTTGCTTGTTCTTTATCAGTGTTTTCGGAAGTACAGGTATTTCCTAGCACCGTGCCATAGGTCTTACAGAGCCCTCACAGCCTGTAAGACCACGTGCTAAAAGCAGAGAGGTTGTCGGGGAGTGGCCCTGGGGTAGCGGGCTGTGCCTCTGTGCATCCAGGGTCCCGAGGGGGCTACGGCCACAGCCCTGCTGACAGGACCAGCGTGTGGATCGCCGCCCTGCCGCTTGCCAGGGGAGGCGTAGTGGGCCCTGCAGAGCGTTCCCTGGATGCCTCCCCCGCGTGCCGAGTTTGGCTTTGAGGACGGTTTTGCCACTCCTGTGGGACCTCTGCTCTCCAGACTGAAACCACGATCTGGGAGGATCTCTGGTCATCAGGGCTTTCGACACAGAGGGAAGCACCTTGCACGGATGGCTTCATGCAGTGGCTCCCGCTCCCGAGCCAAACCTTCCTCCCTTATGGAGGCCATTCTGCAGGGTCTCACCGTTTCCTTTTCTCAGCTTACTTGTGCAGCGCTCAGGTTTGCTTTTTATTTGTGGGGAAGCTTGCCCCCGACCCCTTCAGCTTGTTATTCTGCCGGAAAAAGGCAAAGCAAAACAAACAAACAAACAAACAAACAAACAAACAAAACTTCCCTGGCCATTACACTCCCTCACTCTAATATTTAGCAGTTGCTTATGAGGTGACTCGCTTTGTTAAAAAAAGTACTGTAGGTGAACCTGCTGTCCATGTGTTAACAAATGGATGGGCCGTTGGGGCGCCTGGGTGCCCGATCCGTTAAGCCTCCAACTCTTGATTTCTGCACGGGTCATGATCTCATAGTTGGTGAGACTGAGCCCTGGTTTGGGCTTTGCATTGAGCATGGAGCCTGCTGGGGATTCGCTTGCTCTCCCTCTACCCCTCCCCTGTTTATATTTCCTTTCTCTCTCTCTCTCTCTGTCTCCCAAAATAAATAAACTTAAAAAAATAAAGAAAGAAAAGAAAAGAAAAGAAAAAGAAAAAGAAAAGAAAAACAAAAGGGACCATATTCTGACTACATTGGGAACATGCTTTTGTCATTTATTGTATTTTGGGCATCTTTCCCTACGAGCACATGTCACTACCTCATCCTCTTAGGGGTCAGTTCCTACCACTGCTAATAATTAAAATCATGATTTATGATGGTAATTATAATAATAGCATTAGTAGTATCATAGCTAATAATTATTAACTGTCTCACGTATCATGTACCGTACTAAACACCTAATACATATTATCTTATTTGGTCCTTACCTTTACCCCGCAAGTTAGGGGTTAATAGTCTCCTCGTGTGATAAATGATAAGACTTAGACTTAGGTAGATTGTAGCGGGATTCGCTCACAGAGTCATGACACCGTTTGGAGGCGTTTCTTTCCAGGAAGCAGCTTTATTTGTGCCGGCATTGGCTCAGTTGGGTAAACGCCACATGGCATCGTCTTTTACACATTCTTGACTTCTTTGTCTCCCATATATGTGTAATGTACAGACATACGGTCTGACTGGGTGCTCTCATGTTACAGGGCCGTGAGGCGTGTCACGAACCAGGTTGCCTTCCCTTATCTTGAGGTCTTTTCTCACCACCTTCTCAGGGAGGGGACTCTACCACAAGATTAGAGGGTTTACCCCAGCTCACAAGCCTGGTATGCATATACTACATTGGATATGCATCCACGAGGATATGCTGCATATATGTGGGTGTTTAAACCACTTATCCTTCCCCAGTGTCTGCTGCTTCCTACGCATGGACGCCGCTCGCTTCCTGAGGCATCCTCGCGGATCGCCTTTTGCTTTCCCTGCCGCCTCACCCTTGGCATTTACGAGCAGGGGTGCAGTAAACGAGTCCACTTGCCTTGTGCGCCTTCAGGAAAAGCTGCAGGAGGTGAATTGCAGGGGGAATGGGTAACTTCGTTTACAATGTCATCTTTTCCAACAGCCCCCCGAAAAGTTTCTCTCAGTCTAGTCTCCCACCACAGTATATGCATGATGCCCCTCTTCCCCCACCCTCACCAAATATTCTTTTTTGCCAAATTACTGGACAAAAATCCATTTATTTATTAGAGTCCAGACTCCTGCAGGGTGTGGCCCAGACAGACGACACTATGGTTTTCAGGCCCCCACACCGATCGCCCAGCCTGGCATTGGCCTGCAGGAGATTGCAAGCACCCACGGCATAGATGGGAAGGAGGCCACAGAGCCAGCGACGGAGTTTCTGGCTCCGGCTTTGCTATTAACTATCTCTGTGACCCTGAGGGAAGTCACTTTACCTCTCTGCACCTCTGTCTTCATGCGTGTAAAGTGTGTATAATAAAGTCCCCCTGCCTGTGGCAAGGAGCAGAATGAAATAATGCATGTGAAAGTGCTGCAGAGCTAAGAAATGTAACCCACAAGTGAAGTAACTTTATTATTACCATAACAGCTAATTTACGGAAGGGTGTCACTAAAGCAAATGAAAGAAAATTCTAAATAAATGCAAAATATGAAATATAAACGAAGCAAAGCAATGCCCTATAAAATCCCTTAGGTCACTATTAAAGATCTAAAGTCATACACCTATTTTTTCTAATGCTATTTGTTGTTAAGAGAGCAACAGCAAACTATGTATTACATTGACATAAGTGTTATTAGAACTTCCTCTCGATAGCTCACATCTATAAGTGAAACACTAAATAGCCAACTGAATCAAACTGAGATGCCCTTTGGGAAACATAACGTAGCAAAGATCACTTGGGCATTTAATCAGCGGCAGTGGAGAAAAAGGAAGCCACTGATAGATTTCCTCAGTAGACAAAATCACAGAAAAAGAAAGAAAACAAGGAGAGAACCACAGCTGTGTCTTCAAATAAACACGTACTTTTAGGGAATACATTGACAAATATTTTTGAGTGCTTAAAGGCTAGACTTCATTCTTAGTGCGGAGCTGACATCTCACTGGAGAGAGGCAGATATGGGGGCAGGTATGTACCAGACCAGGGATGAAGTTGTTGGATCTCATGATGCAGATTTCAAATAAAATATGAGTTAAGAAACTTCTTTTTGGAAGACTGGTATTCACTACCTCAGGTTCAATATGTTATAGGTTTCCCCTCTGTGTGGGGGGGGTGGGGGTGGGGGTAGGGGTGGAATTCTAGTCTTGGATATTCAGGAAGAATTTGGAGAGTGAGGATAGCCTAATCGGTTCATCCTAGATATGGTTGTAAAATGTCCAATTTCTGTCAGTGGCTTTTTAGTTTCTTAACATTCTTGGCACAACAAGAGGACAACTGAATTTAGGAGAGACCCTTTTAATGATCCAGTCTTCCCAGCAGACAAACAGGTTACTCTGGTTATTTTTACAGAGGGACAAACTTAAAATTAAATAACTTATTTGGCAAATCTCTGTTGAGATCTATCCAAGAATATATATTGATAACGGTCTGGAATTTAATTTGCAGAAGAATTGCATCTGGAGTTTCCTCTGGCCTTTTCAGTTATTAGCAATGGGTGGCCGGGCAGTTGCTTTAATTTTGGGTTATAGGTTTTAAATGTGCCTCTTAGGGGATCAAGAACCAACCTCAGGGAAGTCTTCAGGCAAGTAGCATTGCCTGCATCCAATGAGATGCGTGGGTTAACTGCTAAGGGTACCAGTTGTTTCTTACGGCTGGTTGACCTGTTATTGCTGAAGCCGCTACTCGTTTCTAGAAGCTTCCTGAGCCCCTGGTGTGACCATGGCCATGTCCCCTTGCTGTTGTCGGCAGGTCCTGAGCCGAAGGGCATCCTTCTCTTTTTATTAAAACGCTGTGGAACAGCTCTAAGAAAGCAAACACTAAAAACTGATGATTCCATGTTCATGTATCTTTGATATCATCAGAGGACTCAATCAGTATACATCTCAGTGCTTTGGAGAAAAGCTTGAGTGGTTTATGTTAGGAATAAGTACATGAAGACAGCTCCTTGAAGGCTTTCTAGATAAAAACCTGTGTTTCCGTGATCAGAAATCAAGTACACTCCTTCGGTTCTTGGAAGCCTGTAATCACATGATCACAAACATTTCTCTTCATATTCTCACCCTTCTAATGGGCTTGCCTGTGCGCAAGGGTGCAGCTGATAGCATACATCAGACTTTATCTATGTTAGCTTTCCCATTGCTGCCTCTTTATCCGGGAGCTTTCTTACGAGCTTCTTTGCAAAACTATTTATCGCAACTCAGGCATTGTGGTAGGATTCAGGGCGGGCTTCGAGGGGATGGTGAGCAACGGAGAAGTCAGAGACTGCCAGCCTTCGTTAGGACCCTAGAGAGGGGTCGCAGAGCAGGACCCTCTCTGGATGGGCTACAGAGTCTAGATTCTCTGTTCCAGCTACCCTTCCAGTGGGGAAATAACTGACTGCTGAACACCAGCATTCTAGGTTTGGGAGGCTAGCTGTTTCTGAGGTGTCTGGGGAGGCAGGCTGACCTAGGACGTTGGGGGCCCGTGGGAAGTTGTATTTGGAGGCTCCTTGCCTACAGAGGAGAAGCCGTAGGTCCCAAGGGGTGGGTAGCGCACCTGTAGTGCCTGCTGGAGATGGAGTGGGGAGGGCTCCAGCCAACCCGGGGCCCCGCCAACCTGAGTCATTTTCCAGATGTTCTGCTGAGTATGCTGCCAATATTGACTGACGGTGACTGCTTTCTCTAAGAAGCCGGGAAACACGTGTCTTTCTTCTCACACTGTTAACCTGAAGAGCTAGGGATCTCTTTTCCATGACTCATCAGCCCACAGCATTTCAAATTTGTGTGGCGTGTTTTTGACATGAAGCTAACTCAAAGGCAAAGTTATTCTCTTTGTGGAGGAGATAAGGACATTTAAAACGAGAAGGGACATCCGCTT